CTAGTTGCGATGGCTCCACGACTAAGTCCTTTCAATAGGGCATCTGACGTGATAATTCCACGACAATCAACGATCTTTCTTTTGCCACATTCATTCAATGGCGTTAACTCTTGTCCGTCGCTTGCGCAACCCCGTGCAGTGAGCGTCGATGGTGAGGGACAGCGACAACACATCGAGGTGCTGCAACGATGAAGCTTGACGGTAGGAGTTGCAACTGGTCAACGACTAACTACAACCAAAATTGACGAGCGGTGGGAGTTTCTTCAGCAAGCAACGGAGGGGTTGCGAAGTGCCGGGGTGCGAGTGGCCGCCGGCCTGCGGGCGTTGCCTCACCGGAGCAGCACAAGAGGAGATGGAGTCTCGTTGTGTAGAGACAGGGTATTTCCCCGTAGAAAACAAGCATGCACACAACAATCAGACGATCTCACATGATTGGGTCGGCAACTAGGTGGCCGGCCGAATTTAGACCGACGCCTAGCGCGCCCAAAGTCAGAGGACACTCATAAGTGCCATACATTTGGGGAGTCAATTGATCAGGACGTCTAGTCCAAGAACTAGTGCTGAACTGCTTATCCAAATTCAAAACACATTCTTTTTTTTCACGAATACGCAGAGGATGGGTATATTTTCATTGATAGAAGGAAAGCATTACAACACAAGATTATCATGATACACTAAGCCATGTGTGCAACAAGGCATGGAAGTGATCACGGAGCAGACAGATGGGGCTTCTCATCCCCACTATGGCCTAGTCTAACTCTCCGGGATAATGTTCCTCATTGCGGTGGCGCCGACCCTAGCGGCGTGCTTCGTCCTTGATTATAGAGCATAGGCAGGAGACTGATGGCAGGTCACCGTCGAAGACACAACTGTTCTGGTGCTTCCAGAGCCACCATGCGGTGAGGATGATGAGGAGGCCAGTCCTTTGAGACCAGTGGTGGACGCGTTGGTGCAAGATGCGGCCCACCAAGCATGGAACTCCATATCCTCGCTGGGTAGATTGGCGGTAGATCGAACCCAGGCAAGAACCTCATGCCACACCTATCTGGAGAAAGAGCATCATGACAAAAGATGTTGCATGGTTTCCTCTTTTTGGCCGCAAAGGGCGCAGGTGACTTCATGGGGCAGACCGTGTCGAGCGAGGCGCTCGGCCATCCAACAACGATCCTGAAGCGCAAGCCAGATGAAGAATTTGATGCATACTGGCGCCCAAGATTTCCAAGTGAGCTTTTAGTGCGGATCCTCGCAGTCACCAAGAACAGTGCATGGTAGCATGAGCTAGCGGAGTAAGAGGCCGATGTAGTCCATCGCCAGCTGAGGATGTCCGGCGACTCCAGGAGCTCGATGTGGCGCAACGCGCGCCAAAACTCGACATAATGTACCATGGCAGCCAGCCCAAGGCCGCCCTGCATATCCTCCACCCAAGATCTGTGGTGTAGGTCATCGCAGACACTGCGTATCTTGCGGCGCCGGTGAGGAATCATCGTGTAGGCTTGAGGTGCGATCTCGGCCACTGATCGCCCGTTGATCCAGTGGTCAAAACACATTGGACAACTTGAAAAGAGAAACTGGCCGAGCACTCTACCTCAGTACATACGGAGCACTACTTATCTACCCCCTAATCGTGGTCTGAAAAATTGACTTACTAGCTAATCAATCAATGACGCGCACAGCCGATCATGGTCACTACGATAAGTCAAGAGATAAGACGAGCTATACTGCCTTTCTCGAACCATCCAATCAACGATCATCATCAACCGATGATCCTTCGCACATACTCCCACAATCAGAACGTACGAACACCCACGGTGGGCGTCCACATAACACGTCCGGCCGCTTCGTGCGTTCCGTGCGGCACGATGATCCCCGCGCACTCGCAGCAGAGCCCGCCGTTCCAGCGGCACGCGGAGTCCGGACGTGCGTGTCGAGCGACGGGCGGAAGCCCACCCCCAATCTGCGCGGTCGGATTGCTCCACTAGCCAGCTAGAGCGCGCACGTCGCCGGCCGCTGCCACAGGCCCGCGCCACCGATCCAAACCCCACTAACGTGCCGTGTTATCGTGTCGCGCCAGTGCATCCTATAAATACCGCCGCGGCATCCACCATCTTTGCATCGATCATACTTCCACGGAGCTGCATAAGTTGAGAGGCAATAAGAGTTAGCCAATCAGGAAGTGCACCGGCCGGCCTCACGCCATGGCTTGCCACGTGAAGGCCATTGTGTTTGGCGCCGCCGTCCTGGCAGCATTTGTTCTCGCGACCGAGGGTCGCGCTGCCCGGAAGGACCTGGGGCTGGGCCTCGACCTCGGCGGCGGCGGTGGCCTCGGGGTCGGCACGGGCGGCGGTCTGGGAGTAGGCACCGGTGGCGGTGTGGGGATCGGCTCAGGGATCGGTGTCGGCATTGGCGGTGGCGGTGGCGGTGGCGGCTCTGGCTCTGGCTCCGGGTCAGGGTCCGGGTCTTACTCAGGCTCAGGCTCTGGGTCTGGGTCAGGCTCAGGTTCCGGGTCTGGGTCTTGGTCTGGGTCAGGCTCTGGGTCGTCGTCGGCAGGGTCAAGTGCAGGCTCGTACGCCGAGTCGGGCGCGGGCTCGAACGCAGGGCCAGGCGACGCAGGGTCGTACGCCGGCTCACGGGCTGGCTCCTACGCGGGCTCCAACGCCGGGAACGGAGGCTCCGGCGCGGGCTCGTACGCCGGCTCCGAGGCCGGCTCGTACGCAGGGTCTGGTGCTGGCCCGCATGGGGGGTCCGGGGCCGGCTCGTACGCGGGGTCCAGGGCTGGTTCCTACGCTGGCAGCGGGCATGGCAAGTGAAGTGAGCGTCTGCTGCATATACGTCCGTGCCATTCTACCGAAGTGATATATTGTGAGTTGGTGTGTGTTTAAAATGGATCGCCTCCATGCGGTTGTATATATAAAAATAAAATAAGTGTAGGTGGTGAACGACGAATAAGGTGGCATGTGTAATAGTGTGTATAATTTGCACCCATGAATAAAGCAGCACGTACATGAAGTAATGAAGATTGATTTGATATATGGAGGACAACATCAATTTTTAAGACCTAAGTTCTTCAGATCACAGGTGCTGGATCAAATGAAAATAAGCTGACTCTCTCGGAACAGAGCCTCGCCCCGTTGCACAAACCAAAATACATGGTCGTTGTTGTATATGGTCTATCGTTGTTTGATCGATTCATGTTTTTTTTCTTTTTTCCTCCGTCAAGGCATAGCTTTGGTCTTTTATGACTTTATTATTACTTTCTATAGGCGTGAGTTTTTATTTGTTGATGTTGATTGTGTGCATCCTGTCTATACAGAGGTCGGGGTTTCACTCGTTGTTATTGTGTCCGCTTGATGCTTCAGGTTCTGGCATGGTGTTGTTCGACAGCTACCCTCCCCAATGGCGGATGACCCCTTTCTGGATTGGGCGGCGGTCACCATCGCAGGTGCGTTTACCCACCTGCGTCGCAGCATTGCTTTCCTACTCATCGTCACGGCCTAAAGAATCTAGAAGCTTCGCAACAACTCGGTCTTCAACGGGGAGTAGGGTTGTAAACGAGTCGAGTTCGAGTAAGTTGGATTAGGCCCAACTTAACTTATACTAAAATTCAAGTGAGCACAAACTAAGTGAACCTTAAGGTCGAGCTGTAGAAAGTAGCTCATGCTCAGCCTGTAACGATCTCGAGTAGACCTCGAGCTAAGTAAGATGATTTTTTTTAATAATCCATGGAAAATTTGAAAGCAAGGTAGGCCACAACATAACATAAGAAACCATTATATAATTCATTTCTTTCTCTCAAGTCTCAACTAGAGACTAGCAATATTTAATAGCAAGAGATCATGGATTAACTAGGAAGAGAAGAAAACAAAGATGTGTCTGTCTCAAATTTTCATTAAAATAATATGATATTAGCTTCTTCTTTTTTTTTGTGAGGAATATGATATTAGCTGACCACATATCATACTGGGGCTAAATTTTCTTCGCACTTAATTAAGCTTCCATGTGTTGGTACTCGTATGTAAAATAGAGAAAAAAATGGTAAACAACATATAAGGAAACATTTTTTTGACTATCTATATGGTCATAAATCATCTCATTTCTTTTTAATATATACAAAATTATGTAATATAATTATATGATATCTAATTATTTAGCTAACATCGAGCGAGCCGTTGTTGGCTCTAGATCAGCTCGTTTCTCGATCGAACTATGTAAAGTGTTCATACTCAGCTCATTTTATTTCTGAGTCGATCTCAAATCGAGCCAAAGTATGAGTCAATCTTGAGCAACTCATGAGCCTCGAGCTTTTCTTGTAGCCCTAACAGGGAGCACTCCTCAAGCACCCAGCTCATCAGCACGATCAAGGAGGCGGCGAGCGAATGGGTTTGCACCGGTGCATATGGCTTCGGAGCCCTTCTCTATGGGGATGCCCAACCCCTTTATTTGCGCACATGCTCGCATGCTCTCGCCGCCCCTACGCGTTCGGGCTCGCATGAAGCTTTTTTAAAACAAAGGCTCAAAAAAAGCCCGACTTTGAATTAACAAAGCCATCAACCTGATAGAATTACAGACTTGAAACCAACACAAGAAAGAAAATAAACAGCAAGCTACAAAGACACTGGTAAGTACGTAGCACTCTAGCTCACAAGGCTCATACACACCAAGCTGGAAAGGATCGATAGGGAGAAGCACAGCTTGGAGACGAAGAGGTCCTCGGTGCGGACAGATCGCCAGGGAAGAAGGAGAATGCCCGCACTGGATCAACACGTCTGACGACGAAGAACAGCACGCCGACGCCTGATCACCAGCAGCCCCGACACGACACATCCGCCCAACCCCATTGTCAAAGAAGGCCCCTGCCTCCTGGCCCCAAAGGCGCCGTTGACATGAAGCTTTGACTACTGTGATATTCAACTCATTCTCCCCCTATCAGCAAAGATCCGCAGATCATCCGCATAGTCGCCAAAAAAAGAAGGGAGAGTGTCGGTGGAGCAGCCGGGGAGGAAATGGCGGCGGTTGCGGGCGTCACCGGGAGCTCCAGATCCGCGGCCTGCTGCGCCGTGCTGCTCGCGGCCGTGCTGTTCCTCTCCGCACCGGCCACCACAGGTTCGGCTCCTCCCATTCCCATTCCCACCCACACCGGTCCTTCTCTCCCTGTCTCGTGCCCCATCGTCGTGCCTGGAGCCGGCGAATCGGTATACAACTCCCTATCGCTGGGGAGCATCGCTGAGATGACGCGGTCGCGCGGGTTCTGTTTGCGCGCGGGTCAATGCTACTCCCGTTCCGCTAGTGTCGGTGGCTTCGATCGCACTGGGTTAGTTCTGTCCGTTCATTTCGAGCTTGTCCGAATCCTGAAGCCAAATTAAATTAGGAAGCTATCCATATCTGTGAAGACGAGCGACCTGTCAAGCTTCCCCGCTGCCACTGTCTGCTCATTTCTTGTTCTAAACTTGCTCAAGACGAGCTGTGCGCCGATAGATCTGTCCAGGAGGAAGTGATATTAGTAAAAGTTGCAGTAAAACCACATCGACCGATTATTTTGCTGCTGCTACCTCTGTTCATAAATATAAGATGTTTTGGCAATATAGATTGAACTGCCAAAACGTCTTATACTGAGGAACGAGGTAGTAGAAAGTATTTAGCGGTGGACTTAAGCGGATAGATCCTGCAAACTGGAATTATTTAGTTTGTTTCCACGCCTCCATATATATCTCATATCTGCACCCTTTGTTTGTTTGTTGACGCAGAGGCTTATGATTCGCTGGATCCATATGGCAACATCACGATAAAATGGGACATCATTTCGTGGACTCCGGATGGTTATGTGGTAAGTAGCACCTCTTGGCATCAACAGCTCTGTCTTTCATCTCAACCTAGCCACCAAGTACAATCATCAGCAGATTATGGACATCTAGTCACCCTCAAGCTGTATCATAATCTTTTTTCCAAACTCGTCATGTGTACTAGGCAACAGTCACAATTACCAACTACCAGCAGTTCCGAACCATATCTGCACCCGGGTGGCGGCTGGGGTGGTCGTGGCGAAAGAAAGAGGTCATGGCGATGGTGGGGGCTCGGGCAATTAAGCGGGGCGATTGCTCAAAATTCAAGCGCAGCCGTCCCCATTGCTGCAAGAGAGATCCGACGATTGTCGATCTTCCTTCAGGCACCCCATTCAACCAGCAAGTTGCCAATTGTTGCAAGGCAGGAGTTCTAAAGACATTTAACCAGGACCCAGGAAATGCTGCTTCCTCCTTTCAGATTGCTGTAGGTCTTGCTGGGACTACCAATAGGACGGTTATTTTGCCCAAAAAAATCACTCTCAAGGCTCCAGGTCAGGGGTACACTTGTGGGCGTGCTCTTGTTGTCGTGCCTACCAAGTATTCTTCCTCGGGCGGGCGCAGGGTAACCCAAGCTTTCAGTAAGTTGCCCACTTATTGCTCTTCACTGCTTGCTCTATATTGCTTTAATAGTTTGCTCAAACGCATTAGCTAGCTAAACCAATTGAACTAAACACATCTTAATACCAGTTTTGCATGTTTCTGCTCCTTAACCATGAATGAATGCTTTTTTTAACACGAATGCTATGTTATTATATGTGTAGGATTAGTGAATGGAGTGAGACCATTGAAACGAGAAGTGATTTGTTCTTGAAAGGAGATGAGTTCATCACCTAGAATCGATGTTAGCTGGTATTTATTTGAAAATAAGTCACCGCTGAGCCTGATAATATCTTAACTAGTTTTCTTTGCTTGCTAATAATGCATGTCAAATGCAGGAAACATCGGATTGGTTCCATATATGTTTTTATGGTTTATTGCTGATAATGTTCTTTATTTAGTGGGTATTAACAAAATAAATTATGTATTTGCAGTGTCATGGAATGTAACCTGCACGTAATCCCAATTTCTTGCTCGGAAGACTCCGACCAAAGGTTTATCAATCCGCAGAGATTATAGGACGATAGCAATTTCCGTCAAGTGGATGACTTAAGATTTATCAATTCGAGGGAGGCGTAGGTTGAAAGTGTTCTCTCTCAAACAACCCTACAATCAAATACAAGGAGTTTATTATGTCCCTAACACACCTAATACAGTTGTTGATTGTATAAGTGTAATAGTTCAGCAAAGAGATCGATAATTTGCGTTATAGATCGATAGTTTGACCGATAACAATATTTTTATATTTTTGAAATAAATATGGCCAACAAGGTAAACAGTAGTAAGAGTGAGTAAAACGATATCTCAATGCTTGGAAATAAGGGCTAAGGTTTATATTTTCACTAGTGCAAACTCGATATATTTAACATAGTTAAACTATATTATATATCATCTAAAAGTGCGGTAAAGAATTTCTCTAAAGTTCCTTTTTTGTTAGATCAGAGTAGGATGAGATAGCGTAGGTATGGCTAGGCACACCTTTAAGTTTTTCTTTCTAATCTTGATCCATAGGACAACCCCAACGTCACCTCAGACAACCCTAGAAATTATATGAAACAATCACCTCTTGACTTTAAATCGTTCTAATCTACTATCCATAGAGTCACGCCAATGCCACTGCGTGCATCTCCGAACATTATCTCACTGATTTCCAAAAGATTCAGTTCAACATGAAGAAACTCATAGCAAGAGCAAGATGCAATTCACCATAAACATAATATGAAGGGATATATCACATAATTCAACTTTATTATAAAGTCCCATGATCACAATCATTATCGAAAACTTCAATAATAAGGGAGAGAGATAGAACACATTGTTACTGGTACAAAACCTCAACCCGAGGATGGACTACTCCCGCATCATCATAGGGCGCAACACGACATGATGGATAGGTTTTTGATAAAGATCAATCCCCCGCTGGTAAATCTGCAGCCAGATATAGCAAATTTGCACTCCCCCCCCCCCCTAAACGTCCACGGACGCACCCGGATATAGCAAATCCGCCCTCCTAAACATCCGCCGATGCATCCGCGAACAGTGACCGGTCAGCCCTCTTATAGCCGCGTCCACACACGGACACCTTAAGTCCGGCCCCTCAAAACCATGCTATCCATGCAATGCGAGAAACTATGTTGTTCATCATACGGAAAATAGACAAACACAATTCAAACTAAATTCCATACGGGCATATGAACACAACTCATCGAACCAAAACAATTAGTTCATCATCGGCAACATGGATAAAAATTAAATTAATTAAAAACTATAATGGAGACGGAGAATGGCGCTGGAACATCACTACTTCTATGACGGTCCCTTACCCTTGTGGATGCTAGTGTGGTTGTAGCCCTCTGTATAGGCGTTGACGGTGGGAGGGCGTCGTTCTTGGAGACGTCGGAGTCGTCAGACGAGGATATGATGATGGCTATCCGACAAACCACGCGCGCCTGCTCCTTCACCAGCAGGGCGGTCTTCTCGCACGCCGTCGCCTTCTCCGTCGCCTCTTGCTATGACCGCTCGATGGCAAGCCGGAGGGCTTTCGTGTTTTGCGGTGGAGCCGCTACACTTAGATCTCCGCTGTGGTGAGCTAGCGACGGAGGACCGCCGTGAGGAGCAGGTCGTCCGAATTGACCGGTGCACGCACGCGGGACCGACGGGAGGGCATCGCCTCCGCTGACGCTGCCCTCTCCCTCGTCCACTGCCTCTCACGGCATGCGACCCGTGCCTTGAATTTAGGCATCCACGTTGGTGCCAGCACGGAAACGAGGGTACAACGGTGGCTAGGGACGCTACTGAAGCAGGTAGAGAAGGGCTCGGAGCTCCCGGAGTTGTGTGGACATGACGGGCAGGCGTCTTTGCCCGCATTGCGTCGCCGGTCGACGGGGGACGACGCGGAGCCAGAGTTTCCTCTTCTACCCTGTCCAGTCATGACTGGCGCTGCGTGATGTGGACGTCGTCGTCTGCCTTCGCCTCGTGCAACAATGACTCCTAGTGGATGGGGTTGTCACCACAGGATCTGTCGCCGAACACTGTGCTACCAGAGCTCGATATTGAGTGGAGATGGAGAGTGTGGTTTTACCGGGGTCTAGGGTTCATTCGGGTGGGGATATTTGTGGGGTCTGGATGGGCCAGGGTGGACTAGTCTGACATGGCGGACGCGTTCAGGCGTGTCTGACCAGGCATTGACTGGGTCGTCCATTTGGTCTGGCCTCATTTTTTTTTATCATAGGCTTCCTTTAGTTCATAAAGTAGAAATATCGTAGGAATGGGAAACTTGTAGAAATTGAAATGCCATGTATTTAAAATCCTATGAATAGAAGCAAAAAAAAATGTCATTTGGTTCAAATGATAGGGATTTTTTCATTTGGTCTAGACTAAAGTTTATTTTCCTATGAAATATGAAGAATTCCTTCATAGGAATAAGGTTCTATTCCTACAAACCAAAAGGACTCTAAGGATTTTTTTTCTAAAAATAACATATTATTGTAGGATTTCTATAAAACTTCTTCAAATCAAAGGAGGCCTCAGTTTGGGGATCCCGGCGTTGGAATTGGCCTGGCCCAGTTCACTGCCGAACCCCAACGCCCGTACACTGCGCAGAGAATCTTCTTTTGCAGGCCGCATGCACATCCATCCTCCAAGCTAATCAACCATGCTCTTCCCAAAACAAAACAAAAAAACTAATCAACCATGCAGCCTCAAGAAAAAAAAAGCTATTCAACCATGCGGACGTCCAAGCAACCGCCACATTGTCTCCAATCCCTGACACGCGGGCCACACCATACTGGTCACCCTCAGCTACAATAAAGCTCCATTCATTTCATGCGCCCAAATTAAGAAATGCACGCTGAACATGTCCATGAGCAAAGTTAGTTAGAGCCGGACACACACACACACACACACAGCTGGAGATCTCGACGCTGGCTGGAAACTGATTAACAACACCATACACCAGGAACTAGAAAAACAATTGCCGAATTTGTTAATTATTAATGCTAATGGCATGGTCACAACTCACGCGATGGGCTGGTTGTTGGTACGTCCAGGTAACGGGCACCAACCGGCGCGACGGCGACGGGGGGCCTACGGCGTTAGTCGGTGGCGGCCTCGCGCTACTAGCTAAGATGCAGTTTGCGCGCACCTCTGTTATAATCAGTGGCCTCGTTTTTTTCTCTCTCGTCTCCCCCACCGACAGAAAGAGGGGGGGAGGGGGGCTGTGTCACCGTGCGTTTATTCCCCCGAGGTGTCGGCCTGCATGTATGCGTTTGGACCCTCGTGGCAGGCACCACCCCGACGCCATTAGTTTAATGGAGCTCCCGAACGATTGCTGGTGATCGGGCGTTTCCGGCTTTGCCCCTCGCGTCTGCGGACCGACAGAGGCAGGCCGCGGCTGCGACTGACGGGGATAAAAACGCTGCTCGAGTCCTATGGTGGCCTCGTTTGCGGCTCGTAGTCGTATGATGGAGTAGCGAGTAAGTGGAATGGCACATCGAAGCTTTGATGTCCGTGCATGGTGCATCGCTATCTCTACCCTCCACTGTTCAGAGCGACTGAGAGACAAGTGTGCCCGTGAATCCTCTTTTGCTTTTCCCTTCCCAGAGGTGTCGTGTTTTCCATATGAACGACACAATGAGTCGGTAGGAATTTAGTTAAATCTGGTCGGATAGGAACCATGAATCACGTGTCGTGAGCAGCACCGAGGAATTATTTTTGCTCATAGTCAGTGACAAAGATGTTTGATGATCAACGGTCTAATATGTTTGTGATTTAATCGCCGAAGTGAATGTACAACTCCACCAACTACGTTCCAGTTTTTATATGCGTGTGTTTACCATGTAGGGGTTTTCCCTTACAATTTCTTTTAGAAAAAATGTAAGAACTAATATAGCATATCAAGACAAGACAAAATTTTCGTCTTATAAGGTCAGTGGTGAGAGAGAATAGGTGTGACGAAATATGCATTAGGCCTCGGCCCTAAGAGCATCTACGACTGGGCTTCCCAAACTGATTGAACGGACGCCCCGGTCAATGTCCAGTCACAAAACCGTAACCTAGTCGGCCTTTGAACCGAAAAAGAGGGAGTGTCTTGGTTTTGTTGCCTGTGTTCATCTACATAGTTCCCAGTATATTGCATGAGT